AGGAAAGGATATAAACAGATATTTCTCCAAAGAAGATATACAAATGGCCAATAATCACATGATAAGATGCTCAACATCCTTAGTCTTCAGGGAAATGTAATCAAAACCACAATAGGATATCACTTCACACCCAGGAGGACAGGTATCATCAGAAAGACAAATGACAAGTGCTGGTAATAACGTGGAGAAGCTGGAACCCTCACACTTTGGTAACAGGATCGTAAACTGGTACAGTTACTTTGGAGAACAGTTTGATGGCTCCTCAAATGTAAAGCACAGATTATTACTAGACTCAACAATTCCACTACTAGGCACATATTTAAGAGAAACGAAAACATGACGTCCATACAAAAACTTGCTCACAATGTTCAAAGCAGCATTATTTGTAACAGTCAAAAAGTGGAAACAAAACACTCATTAACTGATGGGTTAATCAACCAAATGTAGTGTATCCACCCAATGGAATATTATTAAATAAAATTAGGCTCCTTCTTCACTTTTTATTCAGCAATAAAATCAAACTTGGTACTTCCTGGATGAACTTTGAAAACATGGTGAGTAGGCCTGGTGCAGAGACTCACGCTGTGATCCTAGCACTCTGCGAGACAAGGTGGGCGGATTACCTGAGCTGAGTAGTTGGAGACCTGCCTGCACAAGAGCAAGACCCCATCTCTAAAAATAGCTAGGGGTTGTGGGGGGCACCTGTAGTCCGAGCTACTTGGGAGGCTGAGGCAAGAGAATTACTTGAGCCCAAGATTTCGAGGTTGCTATGAGCTATGATGCCATGGTCCTCTACCAAGGGCAACAAAGTGAGACTCTGTCTCAAAAAAAGGAAAACATGGGGAGTAAAAGCAGCCAGTCACAAGAGACCCTTTATAGGTAATTAGTGGCTGTCTATAGCTGACAGGATAGGGGGAAAGGGGTAGAGGGGGGAATGAGCAGTGACTACTAATGGGTACACAGTTTCCTTTTGGGGTGATGTAAATGTTCTAAAATCAAATTATGGTGATGATTTTACAACCCATGAATATATTAAAAACCATCAAATTATATACTATTTTTTTTTTTGAGACAGAGTCTCATTTTGTCACCCTCGGTAAAGCATCATAGCATCATAGCTCACAGCAACTTCAAATTCTTGGGCTCAAATGATTCTCCTGCCTTAGCCTCCCTAGTAGCTGGGACTACAGACATCCACCATAATGCCTGGCTATTTTTTTTTTTTTAGACATGGGGTTTTGCTCTTGCTCAGGCTGGTCTTGAACTCCTTAACTCCAGCAATCTACCTGCTTCAGCCTCCCAGGGTAAAATTATACACTTTAAATGGGTAAATGTATGGTATGTGAATTATACCTCAAAAATGCCAGACTAATAAAACAGCAAAAAGTGAGCTTTTAAACAGAGCTTGCACCTTTGTAAGTGAGTAATTTAGAAAATATTTTAAAGTGTGCTTTCCTAAAAGAATTATCAAAAAGTGTTAACAGATGTGTTAACAGATCCTGAAGTGGTAGGATGATAACTTTTTTTTCCTAAACTTTCATCATTGATTTATATTTAGAAACTGTCATCAGTTTTTCACAATTAAAAAAACTATAAAAATTTAAAACATACCCAGTGAGGTTGGGACAGCACTTCATCTCCATGAGACCTGTCTGATCTAATGCACACGCATAGATATCAATAACATGGCCCGTTGCAGCAGCTCGATTAGCCAGTGCTTCAAAATGCTATAAAAGATTTTTACAAGATAAATCAAGGTAATACATAAAATCATCCTATAAATCTGTTTTCCATTAACAGATCAAAATGATCTAAGAATAACTAAAAGAATAACCCATCATATTTAAATATGATTTATTATTTAATTTTCTACAGTGCTCAAAAAATGATACCTGACATTTTCCCAT